CTGGATTAGAATATACTAACTTTCACACATTATATCGGCAGCACTAACGTGACGTTTAGGCGGTTCGTTTAACTATTATACGCGATGTAAGTTTTTTGAGGGTGGTTAATGAAAGTGTTCTAAAACGCGACATTAATTTCTTGACGACCTAATAATATAATATTATATTATTACCTATTATAACCTACTATTATTGTACAGTTTTGCATAGTTATTTCGCATTAAATGACAGGAAAAATGTTTACGATTTCCAAAAGTGTGGGTGGTATTACATTGTGCTTTTCAACAAACCAGTAAATCATTCAAATCTGTTAGATGGTAATATTAGTTTAGAATTTGAAATACCTAGCTATATTGAACTGTCTGTAATTAACCTATTATCTAACGTTGATTGGAAATCGGAAAAATGAAATTGTTCGGTTAATCATACATGCGACTCATTTTGTATAAGATAGTTAGTACGTGGTGGCGGCTTTATAACAGATCAAAGTTAAGCATTCACTACTCGTCAAATTAGAAATGGAGAAAGTCAAGAGCATCATTGAGTATGATAGGTGTCAAAAAACGATCATGTACAAAAAACAAGGCAAGGGTACTCCACCATGTACGAAAGGAATCAAAAGTATTGTCATGTACAAAAAAAAGGCAAGGGTACTCCATCATGTACGAAAGGAATAAAAAGTATTGTCATGTACAAAAATAAGGGCAAGGGTACTTTATCACGTGTGAAAGGAATCAAAAGTATTGTCATGTACAAAAAAAAGGCAAGGGTACTCCACCATGTACGAAAGGAATCAAAAGTATTGTCATGTACAAAAAAAAAAGGCAAGGGTACTCCACCATGTACGAAACGAATCAAGGGTACACTCATGTTCGAAAAATATATCTTTTAATTTGTTTTCAATTTATAAGTTGTTAGAATATCAAGAAATGAACGATAAACAAGTTAATAATTTGTTAATATTTGATGTTTCAATACCAGGATCGTTGTTTTATTTGTTTTTTTAGCTATAGTTTTTCTTTTCTTTTATAAACATATTATATAATGCGTACATAATATAATTAATTTTATGAAATGTTGTTGCCAATAGTTTCCAATCTCATTAAAACACTAAACTGGCTTTTCACTGGCCTTACTCGTTTTAGAAATATCGATTTATATACCACGTCCATTGCTTTCCGAAAGAAAACTAATGATATGAATTAATTGAGTTCGGAAAATTTTTTTAAATCACTATATGTTTCCCAATAAGCACACAATAAGTTTTTTTAGTTTCTGGCTAATTTCGTAAAGTGGCAAACCAAAATACCCAAAATTCATATCAAATATTTCTTTGAAGAAAACAACAACAAATGCTGCAATTTATTTAATAATAAGAATAACAAAGACAAATAATTTCTTTCTTTTTTTTAGAGTTAGGTTAAAGCAAGTAGCACATATCGTCCTTTTAATAATACCCACAGACGGCTTTTTGTGGAGGTCCTTCAAGTAATAGGAATATCATTCAAATATTCTAACATCAGAAACCTAACTATACGATACTTGAAAATGAGTAGAAAATGGTAAAATGTTTATGAACGTTACTATTTAGCTGAACCACATGCTAAATAGCAACGTTCATAAAGAAACAAATATCACATGCGAGTGTGGAAAGAAACATCCGTCTAACACTACTGGATAAGATTACCAATATTTAGAAGCAAACATTAACATTAAATGGAATAAGCAGTATATGGTTAGCAGAATTCAAATAATTTTATAAAACTTTATAATGACTGAAAATGTTTAAGACAGTTACTAGTACCATTTATATTTTACAATTGACAGAATATATTAGAAGCGGTAGATCATATAGGATTATATTTAAGTGGCAAACACAAACAAACCCAACTTCAATAATTCGGAATATTTGACTGTAACTGTTAACAATGCATAAACACTTTTCGGGCATTAACAACGTTCATGTTTTATTCACAAACTTCGATAATTCGTAAAATTTGACTTTTTAATTGTTAACAACACATCAATACTTTCCGGACGTTAACAATTTTAGTGTTAAATTTATTCAAGTTAGAAAATTATAAAAACTAACCCAGCTTAAAACGCATTAATATCAAGCTTGTTTTCATCACGTAGAAGTTTTTAATGAATACATAATCATGCCTGACGCACCACTGAATGTATAAAGGGAAAACGTGTACTTTTCTGTTTTATAAAATAATAAAACTTCTACAATACATAACAGATTTTCTCTGAATGTCGTAGTGGTGATACTGGAAAAGAAAAGGCAAATTTAACTGATTAACGTCTCATTATGCAGGTGCAACTCCTTAAACCTTCCTTCAAAAATAAAGACATAACAGACAAGTCTGTGTAAAATTTGATTGTGCTTATATTTAACAATAATAACAACATCCGATTCAAGTAACCTATGTGTTTAGAGCGACATTATTTGTTTACCTTGTCATCAGTAAAGCTAATTAAAATATACTTTTTTTTGCGTTTCTGCTCATAAAGATTAAAATACATTGTTTCATCAGTTGGGTACCGCCTCTATCAACGATATTTTCGGCCGTAAACCCAATAATATTCCACAAGGTTCGACCAGTTTAGGTGATTTCGGTTAGTACTAAATACGTATTCTAAGCTAACAATGCCAAATATTCTTTACAATAAAATTGTAATAATAAGAGACAGATGAAAATAAAAAATAATTATAGTCTATATACTAGCTAGTATAAATCAATATTTGGTTTTAGACCCTATATTTCAATTCACGTACTTGTACAATTCATAAGTACTTATGTAACCAGGATACTGTGTCACTTTAGAAGAGAACATATAGCCAAATAGAATGTGCAAAAACACCAAACTTGACAAAAAATACA